AAATTAGTCTTTCAAGTTATTCAAGTTATTCTAGATTCTGTAGTGTGGGGAGCCAGGCAATCTGAGCTCATGCGTCGTGCCACAGTTACCTGGTGTTGGCAGTGGGCGAGTTACTTTACTTATGGTTTGATCATTTGTAAAATGGGCACCACAGTACTTCCCTCCCAGAAGTATTATAAGGGTCAGATCACCAGCACCACTGCTACCAGCAGTGTTGCTGTCACTCCAGTGAGCACTGATGTGGCACTTATTTGCTTTGCAGTGCTACTTTCCTTCCTTGTGAGGCTAATCTGTGGAAATTGTATTGTGTTTAAGTCATCTTGCAATGAATATGAGTTAATTTTTAATTAGCCTACATATGTACCAGGATTTTCATTTTATGTGATTCTCAAAGTAATGTTTTCTTTGCTTCTCATGATTTTATTCCCATGATTTTTGTGAGAACTCCAAAGCCCATCAAACGTGTTACCAAACATTCTAATTCTCACCATCCCCTTGATGGTAGGAGAGGTCCTTGTGTCCTCTGTTTGGATATATAGTACCTTTATCATCATAGTATTTATTATTTTCTTGTGTATCTTATTATTACAAAGATATACAGTTTTAAGAGCCTGTGTAGTGTCATAGCTATATTATCTATGTATGTGACATGTACTGAGCTCTTAGCTAGCAAGATTATTTAATTAAAATATTTGCAAAGATGAATAACTTTAGATTTTTCAAATTCTGTTTTCTAGATTCAGTATAAGACACCTAAACCCAGAGGAGAAGTATATTTTGCAGAGACCTTTGATAGTGGGAAGTTGGCTGGGTGAGTATACATTGAAAAGAATCTTTTCCTTGGTTTGAATAGCTTTTTTGGAAGTTACTGTTTATTGGCCTATGACAATTAGCTCTACTTCAGATGCATAAATACTTTTCAAGAACTTTATTTAATAGTGTAAATCAATACTTCATATATTTTTGTTACTCGTAGAAATATTTAATTTGAATATTTACACAGAGACTGAAACAATTTATGGATGTAAAGAGAAAAAGTGTAAGAGTTTCTTAATTCTCTAGGACAAATATTAACAATGTAAGCCCAGGTGAAAAATTTGAGTTACCTTTCCATTCTAAGTAAGGGCAAGACAATAAAAATTAATATTTTTGTATTTATTGTTATGTACATGGGCAGGCACATAATAATAATAATAATAAT